TTCAGGTTGGTAAATTCTTTCGGGGAACGAGCCTGGCAGGCTTCCTACAGCCAAGTCATCCCGTGGAAACCGCCGCGCGGGAGAGGTCCCCAGCGTTCGCCGCTGCTCCCCTAGCGGGATCGGGGCCCCGGACTCAGTCCCTGAGTCGCCTTCCCGGTGCATAAAGTGGGATGCGCTGTGTTTGCTGGGACTCCAGGCCGGTGACCGCGAGCGGTGCCCGTGCTAATGGAGTCATCAAGTGCTTAGGCAGGAGGGGCGTCGGGAGGACTCCTGAGCCTCATAGTGAGCACGTGGCCAGGAAACCGAGGCCCGGGACGGGAAAGGACTTTGCTCTCAGACACAGCAAGTGTGCAGCGCAGGCTGGACTCCAGCGCAGGCCGGCCCGACTCCCAGCCCTGGGGGTGAGGGGTGGAAAGCTGGCAGCCCTTGGGGCGAGGGGTGGAAAGCTGGCAGCCCTGGGGGCGAGGGGTGGAAAGCTGGCTTAGCAGAGAGATGTCCCCTCCTGGCGTGGGGCACTGGGACTCTGCCTGGATGAACCCTGGAACAAGGGATCACAGCCCTCTGCTTTGCTCCCTCAACGCTGATTCCTTTATCTCTTCCCCCATAAAAATGTAAAATGTTTATTAGAGCATTTATTAAAGAACATTTGGAGTTTCTTTTTCCTTTTTATTGTGGAAACATATACATAACATAAAATTTACCATTTTAACCGTTTTTAAGTGTATAATTAAGTGGCATTCAGTACATTCATTTTGTGCAACCATACCACCATCCACCTCCAGAACTTTTCATCTTCTAAACTGGATAGAGTTTCTTACTTTTAATTGCAAAGCTGAATTGAACCTTATGTATGATTGAAAACAAAATTCCTCCCAAATTAACCAAAAATTCTTCCCACATATAGGGGAGGGGGATTTGACCTCAGAAAAGAAGTACAGGCCACAGGCAACCCTTTGGGGCTCATCTTTGGCCCTGTCTTGAGCCCAAATACGAACCTGTCTTGTGCCCAGGGCAGCCCAGAGGAGGTAGGTTGGCTCAGGGCTTTTTTAGTCTCAGGGTTGAGGGTGAGAATACTGCAGCCCGTCCCAGCCCTCATCTTACTCACTCTCCAGATGTTCAGGGTCAGGTGGCAAATCAGTTGGAGGTCAAGCCAGGCCTCCCAACTGGGCCATTTCCTGGGCCAAGGGGCAGGTCAACAACAGGAAGCCTCTCCTTCCGGCTCAGAAAAGCCCACTCATTTCTGCCTCTGGCCCCAGGCTAAGCACTCCTCTATCCATTATCTCACGCTCAGCCTTCTGGGGGCCATTGGAGGCCAAGAGGGCAGGGAATGGGAGGAAGTGGCTGAGTCAAAATTTGAACCTAGGGCATGGTGTTTCTCAATGCAGGCAGCACTGGCATTCTCATTGAGGTGATTCATCATGGGACGGGACTGTCCATGCCTTTCAGATGTTTGATATCCCTAGCCCTGCCCACTGAATCCGAGGAGTATCTCCTAGTCATTGTGACACCCAAAACTATCCCATGTAGTATCCTAGGGATCAGGAGGAGGGAGACCCTAGTCCTCTCATGGGGTAGGAATTTTTGTGGTTAGTTTAGCTGCCATGGCACACAGTGGGGCTCAATAAATGTGCTTCCCTTTCTTCTGGAAGCGGGTAGTTCTTGTCAGGGAGATGTGAAACCCTTGGTCCTGGAAGCTCTGCTGTGAGTCAGGGCGCTCACCCATGTCTCATCTGGGACCTTGAGCAAGTCATTTACTCTTCTCCAGCCTCTCGTCCCCACTCCAAGCTCTTGGAGCAATCTGCACCCTCTAAAATGAGAAGTTTGCAGTTGAAGTTTACAGACCTGAGGATACACTGTGAGGCCACAAGGGGGCAGCAATGGGCCATAATGACCTTGCCCTACCCAAAGGAGCAGGAAAGGGACCTCCTCCGGTGTCTGAGGAAGGGGCCACATGTGGCTTCTAAGAGGATCTGCCCACCAATCCCCCAGCAGCATGGTGCTGCCTAGCAGACTCTGGGCCCTGACAAGCAATTTCAGAAAGACAATCCTGGTTGTTTATCCCTGGGCAGAGGGCTACTCCCTCAGAGCCTGCTTCCCCACATGTAACATGGAAATAGTGACATGAATCACATAGGCTCCCTCCTTCATAGGTGGGGGGATCCATGAGGTACCTGAGTGGAGGGAGGAGTGAATTTACAAACTCTAGAGTGCAGTAGATTTGTGAGGTTATGCTGGAATGCCCAAGGACACTTGGACAGCTTGTGATGTCCATCGGTCATCACAGCCCCACTGTGTTTCTCTTCCTTTTCACACTACTGGCTTCCCCGGTGACCAAGACGACTGGCTGAGCAGTGGGCCTGCCACTTATCGCCAGCAATTGAGGGAGACAGAGGTGAGGACTTGACACATTCCTCCTCCTTAGCTGGTGTAGGGCTGGGCCTCTTCTGCTCAGCGAGGAGGCCACATAGTACGGCCAGGGGGACTACTCAAACCATGGCCCTCCTTAGGCCCCAGTCCTTGGAGAAGGCCTAAGATGCTGTCATGCAGGCCTTGTCTACTAGTATACCACCCCGGATGTGCTTGGTTTTGCCATCTGTGAAATGGGCATATTTGCTGGGTCCCTCTCTCAGGGTTGTTATAAGGACCAGCTGGAATAAACGATGTAGAAATGCTTTGCAAGACTATGGCCCTTGCTTGGTCTTGGAGTGGGGAAGAGAGAGAGAGAACTCAGACTCATGGGAGCTGCCAGGTGCCTGCCCTGCCCTGGGTTCTTGTATCCCATGCAGTTGGTCCTCATTAACCACCGTCAGAGTGTAGGCATCCCTGTCCCTTCTTATAGATGAGGTGGCAGGTTGGATTTCCTAAGAGGGCTGCAACAAGAGCTACCTCACATTTCCTCCTTAAAATAGGATGTTGACACTTTTCCCTTGAAAACTTTACCACTGATGGTGGCAGGAAGTGACACCAGATGACTTCTGAGGCTTGGCCATAAAAGGTGACACAGCTTCCACCTGGATCACCATGGAACATTCACTCCTGGAATTCAGCATGAGGAGCCAGACCACGAGGGATAGGTGTTCTGCCATCTGACCTCCCAGCTGACAGCCAGCATCAACCACCAGGTGTGGGAGAGCTTGAGCCACAACCACCCCGCTGAGCCCATTAACCCCAGAACTGAGAGAGAGGAATATAAAGGATCATTGTTGTAAAGCAACAAGTTTTGGGGTGACTTTCTATGTAGCAGTCACTGGTCACTGGCTCAGGGATGTGACTGTCCAGAAGGCTCGGCTGGTACGTGGCCGGACGAGGCCTTGTGTCTGTGTCTTCCAAACTTAACGCCACGACCCTGAGCTACTGCCTCTGGTTTCTGGGGTGGGTTTCTCTGGCTTCTGTCCCTCCCCACTTTGCAATGGCCAGGCTGAAACCTTAGCCAGAGGTGCCCCAGGGGCAGTCTGCAAGGACAGGCTCAACCAGACACAAATTCATGGTTTATTACACACAGCAATACCTATCTACACAGAGAGGGGAGGCAAGTCGCTGGGCCAGAGCTGGTGGCTGGGACCTTTGTCACAGGTGGGGAAGCCTTTCCTTCGAGCGCGATGCTCAGGTCGCAGGCCCCCTGCTCGGGCCAGCTGGGAACCACACTGGGACTCTCTTCATCTGTACAGTTCACCCGGAAGACCACTTTCGGCTAGTGGACCAGAGTGCTCCTGGGTGGGAGACTGGGGCCAGTGAGACCCAAGCTCTGAGCTAGAGGCCCATCTCCTCCGGCTGGCAAAGTCTCATCACACCCCTGCTCTGGGGTTGGGGGGAGGCCCCCTGCTCGGGCCAGCTGGGAACCACACTGGGACTCTCTTCATCTGTACAGTTCACCCGGAAGACCACTTTCGGCTAGTGGACCAGAGTGCTCCTGGGTGGGAGACTGGGGCCAGTGAGACCCAAGCTCTGAGCTAGAGGCCCATCTCCTCCGGCTGGCAAAGTCTCATCACACCCCTGCTCTGGGGTGGGGGTGGGGGGCCAGACAGGAAGCAGCAGTCACTCCAGCATGGGCCTTGCCATCCTCCACACTTGGTCACCATGGGGCTCCCTGCAGTTGGGTCCACGTGGTGGTGATCACAGTGCTTGGCCTATACTCCTGGCCAGAAGACATGTGTTCTCAAACAGGCTGGCTTCCCGAGGCCTAATGAAGTTGGTGAGAGCTAGACCTGCCTGGGGTGCTTTCTACAGCTCCCAGTACCCAGCTGCAAGTGCTGGGTGGGAGGCCTGTCCTTCCTGGTGAACCCAGGGTCCAGGAGGGTGAGCAGCTGGCTCTGGCTGAAGAGGCCTGGAGCAGCTGCAGGGCCGTCCATGCCCCAGGTGCCCCCCTGGGGGCTCTGGAGCTTCAGGGAGCAGGCTCTTGTAGGGCAGCTGGGCAGCCAGACGCTCTGCTAATCAGGTGACTGAAGGCCCAACCCGGCATCTTTGCAGCTTCGTCTGAGCCAGGCACCAAATCCTATGGTTGCCCCTCAAGTACACAATTCCCTGATTGGCCTGTCCACGTTCCTGCCAGCTTCACATGCTGATTGTTCTGGGGCTGGGCCGGGCACATGCTCAAAGGTTAAAGGCCACAGGCAGTGCATCCCATGAAAAAAAAAAATCAATATATTACTGTTTTGTTTTTACAAAAATTAAAAATGTCCACATGGATCTGTACAGGCAGTGAGCTGGGTTCTGATCACTGGAAAAGGAGAGAAAGACTGAGGTGAGGAGGGACCATGAGGCCCCTGGGGCCCTCCCCGGTCTGGAACTCATCCATCCTGCCCATTTCCCCAGGAACAGGCAGGCCCCCTCCCCTAGTCCCGGGCTCCTGGCTTCTACCCCTCTCAGGGGGCGCTGATGGCTTTGCACTGGCTCCGCCAGATGCTGAGTGAGCCCCATGCAGCCACGGGTGGGCTGTGCATAATCACCCAGGATTATGGCCCCAAGCCTCAGGTCACACGACGGGAGAGTCAAAACTAGGCTTGTGACAGGGAAACCTGGCTATTCAGTCACTGTAGGGAGCCGCAGAGGCCCACCTCCAGGCCCCTCTTGTCTCCCAACTCCTCCCTGCTTGTCCCGGAGGTTTCCCTACAAGGTACCTTATGCCAGCAGCCAGGCACGGGCAGCCCGTCAGTGCCCTGGAAAGGAAGAAGGTTTCAGTGATGGGGGCAAGGGCTGGTCAGCTCTCCACCCTGGCACACTCTTGCCCTGGGTGAAGGGATGACAGCCCAGGGAGCTGCCATGTGAGGTTGCTGGAGCCCATTGAAACAGGACCCGAATGCCTGCCCGGTCCATCCAGGCGACCCAGGCACGGGACAGACCACTCCTCACTGCACTTGTCCTGAGTGCATCCCCTGGGGCTTTGTTGGGACACCTGTGCCGGGGGCAGAACCGGGAGGACCCTGGAGTTCTGGGCTCATGCTGTACATCTGCTGATAATGGGGGCGGAGGGGGGGCGACCTAATGGCCATGACCTGGTGGCCATAACAGTGGCTTTAGACCCTCACCCTGAGGGCCTGAGAGTTTTCAGGAGTTGAAGAGGATATGGACATTTCAGGAAGTGGGACCCCCTCTGTGTGGCCCATCCTGGTCTCTGTGTCTGGATCTGAGCCACGGGGTCAGGAGGAGGCCAGCAGGGTGAAACCTGGGCAGGGGGTTGTCTGGAAGCATCAGCCATTACTGCTCAGCAATCAGACACAAGTGGGGGGTCATGGGAGATGGTCCTTAAGCGGCCTGGAAGATGGGGGACTGGAGAGGGACAAGGCTGATCCTATAGTCCCTGGGGGACCCTTGGGCAAAGACACTTCACTCTGTCCAAGGCACACTGACGTGCATCCAGCAGGGGCGCAGGCTGGGGCCTGAGGGTGGTGGGGAGGAGGCAGGCAGGATGGGGAAGGGGGGCAGATGCCAGCACAGCACAGCACACAGCAGGCCAGACCATGTACCGCAGGGCAGGGCCCGCTGCCCCTCGCCAGGCCCTTCGAGCCCGGTGCCCCTCGCTTGCCTCCGCATTTAGGATTTTCCTGTTTCAAAGACAAAGACTTCATGACTTGGAAGGAAGTCTCGGCCCAGGGGCTAGATCTGCAGGGCCACCCTGTTCCCTGCTGCCCTTGGTGCTTTTTGCATGTGCTCACTGCTCAGATGTTCATGTCTTTTTCTCATTGCCTCTTCAAAGCCATCTGAGGGTGGGATAGTCTGAGGGTGGGACAGCACCCCCACTGTATGGATGAGGAGACTGAGGAACAGGGCGAAGTGACTCACTCAAGGTCAGAGGACTGGGCCTCTGGGGGTCCCCGGCCCTGACCTTCCTTTGGTAGGTGGCCTCTCCCCATGCCCCTGGCAAGGGGGACCAGGTAGGAATATCTGGTCAAGTTTAGGATGGAAACTCAGCTGTTTCATTTTCCCTGTCTTTTCTGAGCTCCACTGAAATAGTCTGACATGTAACCTCTGCTGACTTCTAGAAAAAGGAAACTGAATTTTGGTTATTTTAGGCCCTGGGTCGGATGGGCCATCAGGGGCTGTGGTGACACAGCAGGAAAGGAGGAGGCTGTGGGAGCAGGGAAGGGAGGGGAGGGGCAGAGGGACAGCATGGGGCCACCCAGGCAGAAAAGCCTTCTCCCGGGTGGGACAGATACCCAGAGAGGTAAGGGCGGTCCCACCCTCTCTATGGACAAGGAAGTGGAGTAAAGAGGGGCAGTGACGCTGGAAACAGATTCTGCCCCCCGGGGTCTCCTTTCTATAGAGGGGATGGGTCTCAACTTGCACCCATGGTGGGGTCAGGACTAGAGCAAGAGGGCCCTCTGGGATGGGCGTGACAGTGATGGTGGCCCTGGCAGTGGAGGCAAAGATGACATGAAGATGCTGCAGGAGCAGCAAAGACCTTGGTTGGGGCTCCCCTCCTGCTCTGACACGTACCACAGGGCATGGCTGGTCCAGTCCTGGCGGTCCCGGCTCGCCCTTCTGGCCCTTCACTCCTTTCCGGCCAGGGATGCCTCGCTCCCCCTGCACAAGAAGGGAGACGGGGGTATGGCCATGGCTGCCATGCCCAGGATGCCTCCAGCACCTCTGAGAGATGGGCCTGGGGCTGGCAGCCACCCTGCCCTGCTGCCCCCATCCCAGCCTCCACCTGCCCACCCACCTCTCTCTGCCTGCTTCTTGCCTCCCATGTCCTATCCGCCTCCTCCCTCCTCTTCACCTGCCTCCCTCCTTCTGTCCTCTTGCCCCATCTCCTCTCCAGCTGCCCCTATTTTCTCCCCGCCTACCCCACCTTCTCTCCACGTTCGCTCCGGTCGCCTTTCTCTCCTCGGGGTCCAGGGAAACCCTGACAAGGGGATTAAAGGTTAAACCTGAAAATGAGGTTTGAGGTTTTCCTCTCTTATCTGTCCCTCTCTGCCCCTCCCTCCATATTCGTGGTACCAACTGGCCCAGTCCCAACTCCTAGGCAGGCTGATGTAGGGACATGTGTGCCTTGAGGACACCAGCACTGCTTCCTCTGAATTAGAACCCTGTCAGAGTCTGTGCATGGAAGCCCCAGCAGTTTGCCAGGTCGAACAGGTGGGTGTGGCTTTGAGATGACACCTGAGCTCTAGGCCTCCCAGAAGGCAGCTGTGGCCATGGAGTCTTTAGCTCTGCCCTGACGACCTCCCTGAGTCCAGATGTCTTCTTCTCCTGACCCTTTTCATCGATGGAACAAGCCCCGCCCAGTCAGAAACTCAGGTTAGAGTTCTTCCTTTTCCTTGTCTGCAGTTGTTCTTCAATGTGACACCTCCTAAAGTCTAGGGTAGACACCATTAGCCTTGCAGCCCTGTATCTGGTCACCATTTCCCTTCTAAGAGCTACTTGATTTTCCTGGGAACCCCCTCCTTTCTCATACTTCATTGATTTCACTCCTAGCTCCAGGATGGAGCATGTGATCAGGCCTGGCCAATTAGGGCACTGCATTTTTCTGGCCAAGTGAAATTTCAGCATTGACCCAACTGGGGTCAATGAGAGTTGATGAGACATTTTCTAAAAGAGTAGAGAGTGAGCCCAGCTGGCATGGCTCAGTGGTTGAGCATCCAATCGAACCAGGAGGTTGAGGTTCGATTCCAGGTCAGGGCATCTGCCCGGGTTGTGGGCTCCATCCCCATCGGGGGCGTGCAGCAGGCAGCCCATCAATGATCCTCTCCTGTCATTGATGTGTGTGTCTCTCTCTCCCTCTCCCTTCCTCCCTGAAATCAATAAAATATATTAAAAAAAAGAAGAGATAAATAGTCTTTCTCTAGAATTTGGGCCTGGAGAGATGCAGACCGGGTTGTGGGCTCCATCCCCATCGGGGGCGTGCAGCGGGCAGCCCATCAGTGATCCTCTCCTGTCATTGATGTGTCTCTCTCTCTCCCTCTCCCTTCCTCCCTGAAATCAATAAAATATATTTTTAAAAAAAGAAGAGAGAGACAAATAGTCTTTCTCCAGAATTTGGGCCTGGAGAGATGCAGGTCTGGAGCTATTGGCTCCATCTCACCATCACGTGGAACTTGGGATGATGCCCACGCAGAGGAATCACATACAAGAGACGCTGAGAGGTTGTGTTGTGTTGACACACTTGAGCCCTGGATCCATGTGCTGTACTTCTGGATTTTTCAGTTGTGAGTCAGTTTAAACCAGTTTAAATTGTGTTTTCTGTCTCTTGCAACCAACAGACACTTGATCCAGTCAACCTTGGACTAATACTTCCCCTCCTCTCCTTCCCACAATACTTCCTTAGCAGAAGCCTCATCATTTCTCACCAGGATATTGCAACAGGCTCCTTACTGCTCTCCCCACTTCCTGGCTCCAATGTATCACCCATCCATCATCTATTCATCCATCCACCCACCCATCCAAAAAGCACCTACTCTGGGCTGTGCATTGGACTTGGCACTGGGAATGTAGGGGACACCAGGCAGCTGTAGTCCTCTCTGGGCTGTGCATTGGACTTGGCACTGGGAATGTAGTCCCAGCCCTGGGAAAGGGGGTTACCAAGCCAACCAGATCATGCTACTGTACGTGCAGCATGAGGGCAAAGGCTACACACAGGAGGACCTGATCACAGTGAGCGGTGAGATACTTACATCTAGTCCTGGCTCCCCGGGTCTGCCCTGAGGAGAGACAAAGAGAAGGTGTGAGGGAGCGTAGCTGCTGGGAATTTCAGCCCTGTAAGTTGTCCACAAGCCTGAACTCTGGCCCTGAAGTGCAGGGGTTGAACCCCCAGGGCCGAGTGATACCACAGTGTGCAGCCATAGGTGGGGGGCTGGCATTAAAAAAAGGTGGTTACCTTCTCTCCTTTGGTTCCTGGCAGCCCAATAAGGCCTAGTGGACCAGCTGGCCCCTGGATGAAAAAGGAATGAATTAAGAGGCATGATGGTTATAGGAATTAGCACCTCTAACGACAAACAAGGCTCATGACACTCACAGGCAGGCCGCTGGGGCCTCTCTCCCCTGACTCGCCCTTCTCTCCCTTTGCTCCATCCAAGCCCTGGAAGTGAAGAGGGACACGGTCAGGGGAAAGGGTCAGACAGATGGAAGGCCAGGAAATCTTTGGGCCTGTGGGGCCCAGGTGTGCAGGGCAGAGAGACAGATTCCAGGCTCTGTCAGGTCTGGCCTGGGTTCCTTTCTGTGCAAACAATCAGAATGAGCTTCAGGTGTGAGCATTTTACCTTTTCCTGAGTACTCATGGTAGGTGGTTGTGCTCACACCCATTTCACAGATGAGGAAAGAGAGGCACAGAGGGAGCAGGGATGGACCCGCATAGCATAGCAAGCAAGTGGCAGGACTGACTACCAACTGAGTTTCTGAGCTCCATCCCTGACAGCGTCTGCCTCTTCTACACATAATCTGGGGAGGCCTTGGGAAAAAGAAGAGCCAGAAGCAGCACATCTGGCTGGCCACATGCTCGGCCCACTCAGCTCTGGGAGTCCATGACTCTGAGTCCTCCAGTTGGCCTCTGAGCTGGAAAAGCAGAGATGGGCTCCCCCAGGGGAGGGCAAACAGTGAGGCCAGCTGCCTCCCGCTCTGTGTGGCTCCTGGGGCAGGGCACACTGGCAGGCCACACTATGGTTTTAATTTAAGGGCAGAGGACACAACATTATGTAATACACACCAAACCCAAGACTTCATGTCAAGGCTGTGGGCAGTTGAGAGACAGATGTGCATGTGGGGGGCATAAGGGGAAGTGGCAATGAGGGGGGAGGTGCAGAGAAAGGGGAGAAACAGCGAGGAGGGAAAGCAGTGGACTGGGTCCCAGGCAGGAGGAGAAGGGGTAAGAACAGGGCCCCAAGTGTGGGCATGAGGGGGCACCAGCCTTAGGGGACTCAGAACATTCAGGCCCTGAGAAGATGCAGGGCTGGTCTGAGGCCACACATGGGGCCCTCACTTGGCCCATTGGCAAGGCTTTCTGAAACTGTCCAGGCTGTGAGTCTGCAGCAGGTAGGGGGTTCACCCACGCCCCAGACTCACCTTGGGACCCTGGATTCCCTGAAGACCCTGGAGGGAGGAGAGAGCAGATCAGGGCCAGGGCCCTCTTGCAGTGGTCACGAAGGCTTGCAGGCCACTCCCCGGCTCCTGTGGCCTTGACCTCAGGGCCTCCCAAGCCCAGATCCTGGCTCCGCCCTCCTTGCCTG